ACAGTGGACCATGTCCCTTTTGGGGCCCCAGCCGGCTGGGGAAGACGCTGACTTACTCGGGACTGAGAATGGGAGCTCATTCCTATGGAAGCCCAGTATACTATTTAAATGATGTGTAGCCATTATTTCTCCCCAAAGAGGGGGGTGTCAGGCCATGCCATCATACGTTTTCAGAGCCCCACAACAAGCAACACCATTTTCCAGACCTAATCTGCCCTTAACACAAAGCATCACTGAACCCTATTCTCACCCAAGCAAAGAGCAGATATGTGGCTTGACACAGCATCAGTATTGTATTCACTCAGGTTAAGCAGTGGCTGGTCCAACTGGCTTTAATGGCAGTCACCTCTGAGAGCCAGGTCCACTCAGTTGTCCCTCCACTGACACTAACCAAGACTGTCTATCAAAAGATGACTATGACCAATTCCAGTGAGTGAATACAAATTCTGTGTGGGTGTAGGAGTGAAGGCAAATCTACAGGGTCATCGGGTGGGCACCCTCTCACTAGCTGGTGTTTCACTGAGCTGGGCCCACAACACTGAGAAGCTTCAACAGTGTGTTCCAGTGTCCCAGAACTACACGCCCCCTTTGCCTGCACTCACACACCCAACACAGCCCTTTATCTACTCAGGCTAATTCAGGCTAACTGTTACCACACAGTCACTAGCACTAGCAAACATCTGAACTGCTGTTCTAACCACCAAGCATTTCAAATAGAGGTTCAATGAAAATGGCAAATAGAGATGGTGAGAGTGGGCATCCGATAAAATGTGAAACTTTGTGAGGTTATCCCATTTGTGTAGCTCTAGGTGATGTATAAAGTGTTTCAATCCAGTGGATAGATGACTCTCCAAAACCAAACGTGCACAGTGTGCTGAAGAGAAATGACCAATTAACTTTGTCGAATGTTTTTTCTGTGTGTAATGATACAGTTATGGTGTTGGTTTGTTTTTGTTGTGTTACGTAGTTGATTTTCCAAATATCTCTATAACTGTTCATATTTAAGTTGATGAATTAGGAATTGTGTTTTTTTGTATATAATACTTTCGAGTTGAGTTTTGAGGTGGTTCAATTCATTCTGTATTCGTTCAGTAGGGTTATTTGAATATGATTGTCAGTTGTTTTATCTTTAATTCCAAATTATTTTCCAAAACTTTTTGTTGTTTTTTCTTGTATGATGAATATGATATTTTTCCTCTAATTACTACTTTTCCCATTTCCCACAGTAGCGGCCCGCCTCGTGGGGCCCTTGTCTGCGGCGAGAGGGTGAGGTTCCCAGAGAGCCATTCATCTCCACAAAGAATGCCCACTCTTTTTTAATACAACTGTCAAAGTCTGAGGGCCAATGTACCTGAGTCAAATTCTTCGTGTGTTCGTCACACCTGGCCAATAAAGCTGATTCTGAAGCAATGATATGTTAAAGTACCATCTTTTAAAGGGTTTAATAGGGATTTGAGTATTTTTATTTGAGTAAAATAGGAGCAAATAGGAGCGCTTGTCTCTGCTTTTTGCAGACAACGTTGTCCTGTTGGCCCCATCAAACCAGGACCTCCAGTGTGCACTGGGGCGGTTTGCAGCCGAGTGTGAAGTGGCTGGGATGAGAATCAGCACCTCCAAATCTGAGGCCATGGTTCTCAGTCGGAAAAGGGTGGCTTGTTCCCTTCAGGTTGGTGGAGAGTTCCTGCCTCAAGTGGAGGAGTTCAAGTATCTTGGGGTCTTGTTCACGAGTGAGGGAAGGATGGAACGGGAGATTGACAGGCGGATCGATGCAGCTTCTGCAGTAATGCGGTCGATGTACCGGTCCGTCGGGGTGAAGAAGGAGCTGAGCTGTAAGGCGAAGCTCTCGATTTACTGGTCAATCTACGTTCCGACTCTCACCTATGGTCATGAGCTTTGGGTCATGACCGAAAGGGCAAGATCCCGAGTGGGATCGCGCATCTGTTTCGGATGCCTCCTGGGCGCCTTCCTAGGGAGGTGTTCTGGGCATGTCCCACCGGGAGGAGGCCCCAGGAAAGACCCAGGACACGCTGGAGGGACTATGTCTCTCGGCTGGCCTGGGAACACCTCGGAATTCCCCTGGAGGAGCTGGAGGAAGTGTCTGGAGAGAGGGAAGTCTGGGCATCTTTGCTTAGACTGCTGCCCCCGCGACCCGGTCCCGGATAAGCGGAGGAAAATGGATGGATGGATAGAAATAGGAGCATGGTCACTGATTATGATTGAATGAATTATGGTTTCTGTTACATATTGGGTTAGTTAATTGCTTATGAGAAAAAGGTCACAATAAGGGCTGATGGAGGGAAGAAAAATATGTATATTTTCTAGATGAAAGATTGTTCATTCTCCAACTATTGCTTTTATGGCGAATCACTGGTTCAACAGATAATTCAAAGACTTTATTACAAGTGCTAGAGCAAAGGTACAGGATGAGGCCGGGAACATGAGGTCGGGTTGTCATCCCAAGAGGTCGAGGAGTGGAGCAGAGTCGAGGCAGGTTCAGGAATGATTGGCAAATGGAGAGGTGCTTCAGGTAGATAGAGGTTGCAGGGCTGGAGTGGTCTTGTTAATATAGTGGGTCATTGAGGAGTAGAGTAAAGTCAAAGCTGGTTCAGTAGGGACTGGATGATGGTGAGAAGCTTTAGGTAGGTAGAGGATCCAGGGTTATAGTGGTCTGTTAGGCACAGTGGGTCGTCGAGGAGTTGCAGATGCAAGAACTAGCCTGGTTGTGGCATGAACAGCAGGCAAGTACTAACACAGAGCCAGTGTCGGAGAGTTCAAGTAAGTGGAGTGGAACAGTTTCTGGCACTAGCCAGGCAGCAGCAGGGATACAGGTTAGTACATATGCTGGGCAAGCGGAGACTTAGCGTCAGAGAGTTCAGGTAAGCTGCTGGTAGGAAATGAGTGAGGAAAACTCTCAGGAAGAAATCAAATCAAATCAAATTTTATTTGTATAGCACCAAGTCACAACAAAAGTCATCTCAGGACACTTTACAAAGTAAGGTCTAGACCTTACTATTATCGCAATTATTACAGAGGGAAAACCCAACAAATCCCCCTTGAGCAAGCACTTGGCGACAGTGGGGAGGAAAAACTCCTGTGGTCTTGCCTGTCTGGACGTAGCAAGAGCAACTAACTGACTAGCAAGGGTGACACAGCGAGCTGAAGCTATATACTAGCTGAATGGATGGGAATAATTAGCTCCAGCTGTGTCACAGAAGCATAGTATATCCCATCTGGCCTGGGAATGCCTCACAATCTCGCCAGAGGAGCTGGAACACCTCATTGGGCAGAGGGATGTCTGGACTACCTTGTTGAACCTGATGCGACCCAACCCTGGATAAGCGGATGATAATGGATGGATGGATGTTTGGTGCCCAGTGGTATCCCCCAATCACCAGTGGCAGTAGTGAGCAATTGCTTCTTGGCGCACCAAAATGAAGAGAAGACACCAAAATACACTAGAACAAGCCACATGAAAGTGAGATTTGTGCTTTACTGGAGGTGCCTTTCAAATATGGTGGTCTACTTTTTCAAGAAAAAATACTTTAAGGGTGGTTACAAAATTGTTGGCTTTGTGTATGTGCATCTGTTTTGTTTGCTGATCTCCGTTAAAGTGTAGTTCACAGCTGTGCTCCAGCTGTTTCTGTGAGATGTATCCAGGACTGTCTCAGTCCCAAATGGTGCTAGTATTGCCTTCGTTCTGCAGTATTTACCAGTTGTTATGCATTTTGTCAGTTTCCTTTCTGCCCATGTGAATTCTTGAAACAGAAAAACTGCCACACAACAGCTATAAAAGGTGGCGATGGCGCATCACTATGTCAGCTTCAAATTCTGTGACCTTAACACACTTGTACTAGCAAAAAAACCACATGTAACGGTCTGACAGGTACATCATGATCCCGTGGCGGTGATGATAAATTACCCTATTGATATCACAAAATTACAAATATTACTTCCCTAGTATTTTTCACTACTATGATGATATAGATTTCACTTTTATTGCCAAACCCATACAAACTCTTCTGTGCTGTAGGTATGTTTCTAAATCACCCAGTAATAAATGAGGATAACAGATAAAGAGAAAGGCTCACCAAAAGCTGTGCTGCGGTTTGTCAGTCCTGAGTAGGCATTGCCGCTGGGTGAGGAAGTGGCTGGGGACGACAGGGGACTGTAGGAGGCTGGGTCAGTCTGGTAACTGTGGCCAGAACCAATACCAAATGGGCTGGACTGGGCTTTACTAGGCTGGAAAATATAATATACAGCATATCAGGCATGTAACAGAACAGTCAGCTCAAGGTTCAGTATAATACAAGATTCAGGGTTCACAGTGCTCTCATGTTATTTTTAACCCGGTTTCCTGAAAATAAATACAAGTAGAATTACATTTTTATACCTTCCTTAAACAGAAATATACAAAAATGATATTTTCAACATTTTTTTGTAATTTGTTTATTTTTTTCCCCCTCTCATGACAAATGATCTGGCACTGTGAGACATCATGGTTAATGTGACTTGGCCAAAATTCTAAATAAAACCGGTGAGTGCAAAGTCAGCAAGACCCATAATGGTACTCAAACGGAAAACACCTTTGTGTTAAAATAAGACAAAAGGGGCTGGATTAGTGGGGGTGTAATGTTTCAGGTCACACACATTGGTTTAAAATACTTCAAAGAAAGATTTTATAACCTCTGAAAGTTAACATGTCAGTAATGATTTTATCTTTCATCACAGCAATCACAAGGTAAACAGTAGTCAAATCAAATTTTATTTGTATAGCACCAAGTCACAACAAAAGTCATCTCAGGACACTTTACAAAGTAAGGTCTAGACCTTACTATTATCGCAATTATTACAGAGGGAAAACCCAACAAATCCCCCTTGAGCAAGCACTTGGTGACAGTGGGGAGGAAAAACTCCCTTTAAAGGAAGAAACCTCCATACCGCCATATGTAATGGTGGCATATAAAAGCATAGGAAGAGAGGAAAGGGGAGGTGAGGAGAGAAACTCAGAGCATCATGGGGCCCCCCAGCAGCCTAGGCCTATAGCAGCATAACTAAGGGAAGGCTCAGGGTCACCTGATCCAGCCCTAACTATAGGCTTTATCAAAAAGGAAAGTCTTAAGTCTAATCTTAAAAGGTAGAGAGGGTGTCCGCCTCCCGAACTGAGACTGGGAGTTGGTTCCATAGGAGAGGAGCTTGATAGCTAAAGGCTCTGCCTCCCATTCTACTTCTGTGGATTCTAGGAACCACAAGTAAAGCTGCACTCTGAGAGCGAAGTGCTCTGTTAGGATGATAGGGCTCTGCGAGGTCTTTAAGATATGATGGAGCCTTGTCAAGCTCCTCTCCTATGGAACCAACTCCCAGTCTCAGTTCGGGAGGCGGACACCCTCTCTACCTTTAAGATTAGACTTAAGACGTTCCTTTTTGATAAAGCTTATAGTTAGGGCTGGATCAGGTGACCCTGAGCCTTCCCTTAGTTATGCTGCTATAGGCCTAGGCTGCTGGGGGGCCCCATGATGCTCTGAGTTTCTTTCCCCTCCCCTCCCCTCTCCTCTCCTCTCTCTCCCTATGCTTCTATATGCCACCATTACACATTACTACACCCCAACCGGTCGAGGCAGAAGGCCACCCACCAAGAGCCGGGGTCTGTCGGAGGTTTCTTCCTTTAAAGGGAGTTTTTCCTCTCCACTGTCGCCAAGTGCTTGCTCAAGGGGGATCTGTTGGGTTTTCCCTATGTAATAATAGTGATAACAGTAAGGTCTAGACCTTACTTTGTAAAGTGTCCTGAGATGACTTTTGTTGTGAGTTGGTGCTATACAAATAAAATTTCATTTGATTTGATTTGATTAAGGGCTTTGTATGTTAGGAGAAGGATTTTAAATTCTATTCTGAATTTTACAGGGAGCCAGTGGAGAGAAGCTAATATGGGAGAAATATGATCTCTCCTGCTAGTTCCTGTCAGCATTTGGATTAACTGGAGACTTTTTAGGGAACTTTTGGGACATCCTGATAGTAAAGAGTTACAGTAGTCCAGCCTGGAAGTAACAAATGCATGGACCAGTTTTTCAGCATCACTTTGAGCCAGGATGCTCCTGATTTTTGCAATATTGCGTAGGTGAAAGAAGGCAATTCTATAGATTTGGTTTATGTGTGATTTAAAGGACATATCCTGGTCAAAAATTACTCCAAGGTTCCTCACAGTAGTACTGGAGGCAAGAGCTATGTTATCTAAAGTAACTATATGATTAGACAGCAGACTTCTAACATTTTCAGGCCCAAGCACAATGACTTCAATTTTGTCAGAGTTTAGAAGTAAGAAGTTACAGGTCATCCAGGCCCTTATGTCTTTAAAGACATGCTTGAAGGTTGACCAGCTGATCTGATTCATTTGGCTTCATAGATAAATATAACTATCATCTGCGTAGCAACTGAAATTTATGCTGTGCCTCCTGATATTATAAAGGGAGCACGTATAAAGTGAAGAGAATTGGACCTAACACAGAGCCCTGTGGAACACCATGACTAACTTCAGTTTGTGTGGAAGATTCATCATTAATATGAACAAATTGAAATCTTTCTGATAAATAAGATTTGAACCAACTTAGTGCAGTTCCTTTAATCCCAATAACATGTTCAAGTGTCTGCAGTAAGATGCTGTGATCAGTGGTGTCAAAAGCAGCACTGAGATCTAAGAGGACAAGTATGGAGACAAGTCCTTTGTCTGAGGCTAGGAGAAGATCATTGGTGACTTTCACCAATGCAGTTTCTGTACTATGATGGACTCCAAAACCTGACTGAAAATCCTCAAACAAATCATTCTTGTGAAAGTGGTCACATAACTGCTTAGCAACAGCTTTTTCCAGAATTTTAGAAATAAACGGGAGACTGGATATTGGTCTATACTTAGCTAGGACACCTGGGTCAAGAGTAGGCTTTTTGAGTAGAGGTTTAATTACTGCAACTTTAAAAGCCTGTGGAACATAACCTGTTAATAGAGAAAGGTTAATCAGATCTAGTATGGATGTGTTGATTAGGGGAAAGATGTCTTTCAGCAGCCCGGTCAGGATGGGGTCCAGGAGACATGTTGATGATTTAGATGAAGCAATTGTTGAGGTCAACTCAGAGAAATCTATGGGAGAGAAGAAGTCCCAAGTATAAATGAGGTCTGACAGATATTTCTAAAGCCATTGTAGTAGATGGCACATCCATGAAAGCTGTAGGAATGGTCTGACCAATTTTTTCTCTAATAGTTGTGATTTTATTTGTAAAGAAGCTCATGAAGTCATTGCTGCTGAGATCTAAGGGAATGTTAAGCTCAACAGCACTGTGGCTCTTTGTCAGCCTGGCTACAGTGCTGAAAAGAAACCTGGGGTTGTTCTTATTTTCCTCAATCAGTGATGAATAAAATGCGGTTCTGGCACTATGAAGGGCTTTCTTATATGTTATTAAACTATCTTTCCAGGCTATGAAAAACTCTTCTGACTTAGTGGAGCGCCACCTCCTTTCCATTTTTCGTGATGCCTGCTTTAGGGAGCAGAGCTGCGAGCTGTACCACGGGGCTAGCCTCCTCTGTCCAAGTATAAATGAGGTCTTACAGATGTTTCTAAAGCCATTGTAGTAGATGGCACATCTGCGAGAGCTGTGGGAGTGGTTCGACCCATTTTTTCTCTAATAGTTGTGATTTTATTTGTAAAGAAGCTCATGAAGTCATTGCTGCTGAGATCTAAGGGAATGTTAAGCTCAACAGCACTGTGGCTCTTTGTCAGCCTGGCTACAGTGCTGAAAAGAAACCTGGGGTTGTTCTTATTTTCCTCAATCAGTGATGAATAAAATGTGGTTCTGGCACTATGAAGGGCTTTCTTATATGTTATTAAACTATCTTTCCAGGCTATGAAAAACTCTTCTGACTTAGTGGAGCGCCACCTCCTGTCCATTTTTCGTGATGCCTGCTTTAGGGAGCGGAGCTGCGAGCTGTACCATGGGGCTAGCCTCCTCTGTTTTTCACTGCCTTCTTTTTCAGAGGGGCAACAGTATCAAGTGTATTATGCAGGGAGGCTGCAGTGCTATCAACAAGATTATTGACTTGTGCTAGAGTAAAGTTAAGGTGGCCTCACTCCACTATGTTGGCAAATGGCACTGAAGTAAATAATGATGGAATTATTTCCTTAAACTTCGTAACAGCATTGTCAGATAGACATCTACTGTAGTGGAATTGTTTCCCACACAGTGTATAATCCATTAATGTAAATTCAAAAGTTATTAGAAAATCGTCAGACAGAAGAGGGTTTTGGGAAAACACTTAAGTGTTCAGTTTCGATGCCATACGTCAGAACAAGATCAAGAGTGTGATTAAAACAGTAAGTGGGTTTATTTTGTAGAAAGAAATTCTTAATAAAATGATATAGTGCTATGTTATGTATTTGCAAAACGGTTCAAATAATTCTTTAATCTGTTTGACCTGTGGACATGAAATGCTGTGAGTAGGTGCAGAGAGACTCAGAACAACAGGAAGTCGTGCAGATACATACTGAGATGACTAAACTGTCTGCACAAGAATTGTGTGTGGGTGTAAGGTCTGATTGTCTCAGCTTTAGATTATCAACAATTATCAACATTATATGAAATGCGTGGCCTTATAGGATTGACATTATAATCTGCATTAGCAAATATATCTACATGTTTACTTTAGTATCATATGCTTTATTATTTACTTTTGCTTTAACCAGTTCACTTGTCTTTAAGAATATAGGAGACATGTGTAAGGCTGTAAGAGTAGACAGGAAACCACATACAGGAAGTAGTCCACGGTTGCATAGCAACGCTCGAGGTGCTTCCTCTAAAACTGTCTATTGAAAGGTCAGGATGTGTTGTTCTGAGAATGTCACAGATCAAAATCTGCCTGGCGACAAGATCACCAAATGAGGGGTCAGAATGAGGTCAAGAAACCAACCAAGGAAGGAGGATGAAGGACAACACGGATGACGTCAGATCATTTGCATGACTCTTATTATAAATTCTTTATGCAGAGGAAACTCATGGTTCCGGCTTCCTGCAGCAGCTATGCACTGACTTCTCTGTGTGATAGGGCTTCAGATAGAAACGGAATCGAGAGCTCTGTAATTGCTTTTCTTCATCAAGGTTGTAATAAATATTTTAAAGGTTCTTCTGACTTCGACTCTTCCTCAGAAATGAACATGCAGGACGCTTAGGTCCTACAATTTACAGTTTGAGAAAAGCCAGCT